TACCGCAGTGAAATTGATATATTTCTTTCGCGATCTTACTATTGCAGGAATGTAGGTTTTCTAGCAAATCTACCTTATCGTATTTGTTAATTTTGATAAGAGCAAATTGAATTGGGTTTTTATATGCCAGAGAAGAACGGTTCCACGATCGAATAGCAGGCCTAAAGAAACGGGTACGGGTAAGGTACCGGTACCGTACCGCAGTGAATTACGCTCTCGTCTTTTCGTTACAGTTCTGATGTATACAACATAAATTTTGTAGCCTACCTTATTTTTTTTATTTGATAAGAGGGAATGAATTGAGTTTTATATTTTTATATAACAAGGAAGAACCGTTTCGTAATAGAGAAGTGACTGAATCACTTAGTATTTCATTCACGTTAAATATAGGATGGAAAAGAATAGATCATTACCACAGGACATGGAACAGCTATGACAGTCCCTGTACCGTTATCTGTACCCAGATTCAGGTGCTGGTAAGTTGAAGCATATGATTTTGGAAAGTTTTTATGAGAAATGTTTGACAGCGTTACCTGATCCGGTAATACAGAAGGAACTCAGATCATGTGATATTTCAATTGATGTTTAAACACAATCAAGATAATGGATCATTGTCACGGGACCTAAAAAAAGCTATGACAGTTCTTGCACCGTTGAGGTACCCCGATACAGGTACAAGTAAGTTACCGCAAATATACGAGTTTTGGGGAATTGGTCTGCGTTTCCATATATTTGAGCATTGCTCTCTTGTATTCAATGCATTGGCGTATTCTTGATTTGTACAAGTGTATGCAGTCACGGGGAAAATATCGGCGAGCACGGTGAAGAGATTCAGCTTTTATTGACGCGTTTCGAGCTATAATGGCGTTATTGATACACATTTCACATTTCAACTGAAATATATGAAGATGGTTAGTCCAACCAGACAAAATTTAGATTTTAGATGATTCATCTAGTACTTTCTTTGACTTCAGAATTGGAACTGTGTCAAGATTAATATATTTATCAAGATTGTGTCTTTTTAATATTTCATAGAGACGTGTTACTGATGTCACGCCATTCGAAAACCCAAATCAAGTTCTCTGTTGCATTAGAAGAACACCCAGAGCATTAAATACTCAATGTATATTCCATAACATTCAGGAGAAAGCTTTAATGTTTGAATTATCGATTGGAATTAGAAAATTTATTTCAACAATTTAGTAGGCCTACTCAAAGAATCTTGGCATCCTTAAATGTGTAGGAAAATGATTTGTAGAGTAAGCTAAATAAACATCATTCAAATTTATCAAAATTCAAATGGAATTAGAATACACAAAACTTTTTTTAATGCATATTTCAAAGTACTAACCGCATCGAAATAGCATTCCAAAGTTTTTTACATGACGAGACACTTTGCACGTGAATACGTAAAGAAAAAATTAAAGTTCAGTAAAACCAGTTCAACTCGTTGCGATATAAACATTCCCAAGTTTCTACAGAGCATTGCCAAAACAAATTGAAAACCGGAGTTTTATCGCCCCTATCACTTGCAGTCTTGTTTTTTCATAACTGCCCATTCTGATTCATCGACTAAAAATCACATGCTTGTTTGTATTAACAAGTAAAATTGTTATGTTTGTAATTAGAATGAATTCGATGTGGGGAAAGTGAACAAGCAGGTGGTCAAGTGCAACACATATTCAATGGGCACAACTACGAAAAAACATACAAATAAAAGTAAAACAATGAAATAAAAATATTTTTAAAATTATTATATTTCGAAAAGTATATCTTTAAAATTATATGACAAACTTTAATTTATTTTATATTATTGAATTTTGATCAAATCAAGGATGCCATTAAACAACTTCCCTCTTAATTTTTTCCAACAAAAAAATTATAAAGTGATAAAAATAACACAGTCATATAAAACGTATATTAAGTAGAATAGTTAGCTCGAGTACAAAATCATTATTATATCATGAAATTACAAATGTCAATCAAATGTTTAAATCATTCTTGATTTTGCAATCTATGATTGTAGCCAGAGTCCAAATACCTAATATTTTTACCTGCTAGTCTCTTCATTGCAAGGAAGTTTGCAACGCCATTCTTGTCACTAACGTAACTTGGTCTGCCTTCCATCTCAGTCATCACATAATATTCCAAAGCAATAAACTATGGCGTGAAACAAAACTGAATAATCTATCCGACGTTGTTTTTGGCTATTTTCTGTATGACTAGATCCCATTTGCCATAAACATGGATTTAAACGTGGTGGCACTCTATTACATGTTTAGCCCAGAAGCAATCCAAACTCCGTATAACTAATATCACACAATATTTTCAAGCAACAGCCATAGAATCTGAAACAAATAATAATAATCAAGCAGCACAATTCACATCAAAACACAAACTGCGTCATAGTCGAAATAAAGTGTATATAAAGTGTTCACTAATTAACGAGAAATTAATCAAGATGCTTCTATTTACATTTCAATTGTTTTGAAGGAGTGTACTACAATTACACTTGATATAACGAAAGTGCAATGCGACGGGGAATTTTGCATATGATTCAGTACTATCATCAACATATCTTGAAGCAAAGAAGATGCGATTTAACATGGAGCAGGTACATGATAATATTTGATTTGCCTAATTTTAATTGTAATGCTCCTGTTTTTAAAATGAGCAATGGTATAGGCCTATCAAATTAAAATGCTATAAAATAGAATACCAAACTACCTTTCTGATTTTTTATATAATTTTTTGCTTCGAAGATTATAAATTAGAACATTAGCACTTATAGGGAGTTACTATCGAATCCGTTACTTGACATACTTGAAGTAAGTAACGATATCACTTTTAAGTCACGACACACAAAATCGGGTTTGAAAGATCCTACGAAAGTTAGGGTAAGAAGAGCATGCATTTAGACCAGTGGTTTCTTCCCGTCAGTCCTTGAACTGATGTTGGTCATCGCAGTGTTTTGCTGCTGGTCCGAGAGAATTTTTCAGCTGGCGCAGAGGCTGGTTACCAAAGATTACACCGTTCACAGAGTAAAAAACATTTTGTTGTGTGGAAAAGCTTCGTCACCGACGTTTATATTAAATATTGACAATATTATGATTTACAGACGGTGTATTGATAGTCCGACCAGCAATAAGTCTTTTCCTTTTACAATCTGTCTTTTCGTGTCATAATCCATTGCCGCGGCCATTTGTTGAATCTGTCCAGTGTTGAGAATCTACACATATATACATATTTTAACTCGCGAAATGTGAAGCGCATTCAATGTAAGGCATCCACAGATTCCTCAACACAATACCCTCTATTTCCGCAAGGCGGACAGAGGGGGTACTTTCGCATGTATAGGAATGGCGGGAAACGTGTTGACAGAAACGTGCTGCATCGTAAAAACGAAAACAGCAGTCAAGAATATGAACGCCTTTATCCCAGGTGCAATACTGATTATCACAATTACGGTGAAATATAAGATTGATTGAACATATATTGCAATGAATATATTTCATTTCATCATAATCCGTAATAAATTCGATCATGAAAATAATTTGATAGGAGTCGCATGAAACCGTCAATGTATAATGCAACGTATTGTGCAAAGTTAACGTTTTTCATTTGCAGTGCTATGGTATCGCTGCCGTTGGCAACTAAATTTAACGCGAAAATTAAATTTATTCATAAATTTTGCCGATTTATAGTATCAGAAATAGAATTAGGCCAGCATTTATTATCTGTCGCTTAGCTCCTAAAAAATTTGTGATACTTCTTTGTTTTAGTTTTTGCGTGCATGATATCGTTTCAATTTGCAATTGAGTATATTACCTGGGCGAATTCCAACACTTTTGTCGAAAATCCGAATATTGCCTGGTAATAACAAAATTAATATTCTTGTTGCGAATTCTATCTTTTAAATATTTTCAATTTCATCGGCTTACCGCTGATAAGAGCGAAACAATATTACTTTTATCTCGCAAAACGTAAATCCTATTCCATCTCAACCTTGTTTGCATTAGTGGCACTGTCTTTACACTGAAAAAAATTTAGAAAATAAGAATGATGTGTAACTTGTTGAAAAGTTTTTCTAAAAACTAAAGCTTGAAGAAGGAATGAATGAATCTTGTTTAAGGTTTTTGCAAAGTCCAAAAAATGGACGGATGTAAATCTCCTTGGTTGCTAAAATTGTACATGGTACATTTTAACATGGAAACATGTTTGAATAACTTTTTTTTTAAACCATTCATACCAAAATACGATTTAAAGATGAAGTTTCAACTCACCAAATGTCATAACTACAACAAATATAATAAGCTAATCTGATTTATAAATACTTCGTTGTCTAAAATTCTGTAACAAAAACGCAGAAATATCGTAATTGTTGGGTAACAACATAAAATTTTAATATAAATGACACCTATAATACGTTTACCAATCTAAAATTTCAAAGGGGACATTCTAAAGAATTCTATAAACAAGTATCATCGTCACACCAGATATAAATATTCTCTGCTATGGTGCAAAAATCCTTAGTGTGACCACCTAGCGCCAATCATTCTTGCTTTTAAGAAAAATCAAGAATATTGAAGGTACAAAACATTCGCTCGTAAAATAGGTTACATAGGAAAGGGGCAAATCAAAACTGAAAACATCATCTCAAACTCACGTACTCATTTCTCACTCGTCTTCTTTGAATTTGAAATTGAACATGTCCCTTTAATTAATGAATAAAATCGTTCATCTTTCAGAACTACTTTCATGTATGTGACTGTAAAGAGTGTAAACAGCTTTGCACTGTAATTCTGATATTATATTATGTACATTAAATAGTGTTAATATCGACGAGCATAATGAACGGTGGTCCACTTGTAGATCACATCTATAATATTGCTTATCTGCCTTGGATTGTGCTGGTTAATAACAAAATAAACAAAGCAAAACGAAGTAATTAGGGTTAAATTAGTCATTAAAATCTGGCTTATCGGTATTGATTGGGCGATAGAAAATGTAAACAACATAGCACTTACATCTGTTGACATCTCTGCTGCGAGGATGAACCCGTGAACAACATATTGTCAGCATCTAGTTATCATCCTGCAATATCACTGTCTATGCTTGAGACTTTCAAATGGATAAATGTGAGTATGTTATTATACATCATTTTATTTGTGTTAGGTACATGTTTGGGATGAGTCTGAATTACCGTGTTTTGCCAAGTGGCAATATTTATCGTTATATGAGTTTGTGAAAACAAGTTACTGTTGTTAGTGGTGGAATTTGAATTAAAACAATTGAATATTTTTACCATTACGTCTCGCAACTATATTCGGGCATGTTCATGCATATAGCGAATCAAATGCCAACACTTCAAAACGGTATAATGGCAAACATTGAGTTTTGGCAATTGTATCTATATATATTTGTTGCATATTCAGACTATAGCACGGAGTTTTGCGATATAGTTAGCTGAATATTAGACATTTGGTTAACGTAAGATATCTCTGCAATCATGATTTTTAGAAATACAGACGAGAAGTGCTGAAGATTACACCCACGAAGAAAAGCTACATTCAGTTACGCATAAAGAATGTCTTTATAGTTGAAAAGTGCTTCATAACTTTATATTTATAGGACGATTGTGCGATGTCATCAGGAATTCTGTTTCAAACACTTGTACTAGGGTTTCTATGGAACTGCGTCTGTACTAATTCTTGACGTATCTGAAAAACAAGCTTCTCCATCAACCAAGCGAGCATTGTATTCATGCGCTACACATAAATTTGCGAAAAAGCTGTCAACCACTTCCGTCAACATGCCATGTTTGATCTACATTCTACAACATGATATAAATACAAATCGGAATTGACTGTGACACAGACCTGAGACGCTTGTCAAAACCAGCTTACAATTTAGGAACATGATTTGACTGCAATGTTCCATCAACTCAATATTGCAAAAATGAGAAAGGGGTTATCAAGACAACCAAGGACAACACTGTGATATTTTCTTTTACCTTGAGTTAAATTATGAAGGATAGTTTGTCACTTAATTGTGAACTCTTGGTTGTCTGAATTATGCTGCAATAAAAAATACAAATACTCAAACTTCGAGCAGTCCAGTCGCGTCGCTGAATCGAATGCTTGAATTGTACGACGCACTTGAGGATTTCTGACATATTCAGCTAATCCCTAAGATAACTAAATATCATTCTGATATTGCACCGCATGCTTCCCATAGAGTCACATTTATTGGATACAAGTTAAAACAGTTGTACATCGTCATAACTTGCTATATAAATTAGAATTATATGAATTTAATTTGACCAATAATCCATTAGTTATGGTACCATGCCGAATATTCATCTTCTAGTTAATAGATAAGACTAGAAAGAATTATCTAATATAAGAAACCAAAGTGTATAGAAATCGGAAAGTTGTGCAATATTGTTTGTATTGTAATCCAGCATTGCCAACACAGAGAACCACGATATTGGCATATGTATGGTAGTTTGATTAAACGATATATTGTATATACGAATTTAATATTCATCTGAATTACTCTGGTAGAACTATAGCAAAATCTATTTTAACTATCTTTAGGGATTGGTGGTTTAGAACCCCATGCATAAATAATGCTAATCTCATACCTACCCGATTGACGAATGCACAAGCTTAAATAATTTGTCCTGTGAATATGAAATACCAAGAATACTCAAGTTCAAGATATTGATGTGACCAAATGGAGATTCATAGTGTATTATAATAAATAGCATTGAACAACCAATTGAACGTAAGGTGTTTGCCTTGTGACCAGTTAATTTTTTTTATACCTCACAATTTTTGTTATCGACGTTTGGCGGACTTACCGTACGTATCGCAAAGAGATGCACACACAGCTCTTGTGTTAGAAACTGCCCTATAAACTTCACAATATACAACCTAACGAGACACATTAAGACACGGCGTTTATCAGGACAAGGAATTCAAGCAAACGACTTCATGAGGTAAGAAAAGTATTAACATATGATGAAATATTTGGTGATAGGATGTGGTTGAAATAATCAATAGAAATAAATGGTTTCAACATATCGTCACGCTAATAACCGAATTGCGTAAGTCATTTTTAGCAGTTTGGAGAAAAACTTCCTAATGATATTGTTTAGCCATTGAGAGTCAATAATTTGCCATGGTTCAATTTTTTGATCGTAGCCGGATTTAATTTAATTTGTATGACGCAGTTAAGAGACGTCATAATGGCGCACTGTGACTTAGGCAGAAATGTGTCTATGACTTGGGGACATACGCAATTTTGCAACTTCACTATATGCACCAGTCCTGAAAACTAAACATTCCAAAAATGAATGTAATTTCCAGTATCTACAATGTCTAATTCCCAAAATAGCTAATCAGTTTCAATTACATTATTTTTTATGTTAAAAAATATATATTTCATCAATATAACACGTTCTGCACACCCACCGAAATAAGACTAAGATTAAATAGAAAGAATAAAACAGCAATGCACCCAATATAAAAGCCAACCAAGATGAATTGGACTCGGACAGTGAATATCGCAAGTGCACGCCTTCCTATACTGTAGTATAAATTCAAATTAATACGCGCTAAGCTAGAATCCGAGATGCGAAAACTCGAATATACTTTGCCGAGGTTATTTTGTTTCTGTGACGTCACAATAGTCCTGCGCTAACAATGATAATTCATTATGACGAAACAATTGCACAAATGTGCATGTCATACTAATTCTCCATTTTTATGGGTTCCAGAATTCTTAAAATAAAATCTGAGTTAACAGACAGGTGCGCAGCATTACATAAATACCTATTTTATAAAAAACTCAAAATCGCCAAAAATGACTTACGCAATTCGGTTATTAGCGTGACGATATTGCATTGCGAAAATGCAATTTAAATAAATCTTTATATATATTCTAAAATTAGGTCCAGACATTGTAGTCAAATCTTTAGTTATATTCTTTTCTACCAAAATGGTAAAACACATACGCGTGGAGAACGAATAAAATATTATATATATTTAGACAAGCTTAACTGGCTTTATCTCTGTATCCGAAGATCTATCGCATATCAGCTTTTTTGTGATGTTCATGAAATATGATCAATATTGACGCGATAATCGACCACATGTACGAGAGTACAGCATCTCCAAGCTATATTGTACAGTTTATACTTTATTTTAGACCCAAGTTAGAGGTTAATAATAATATCATCGTGAGTTTCAGAATGAGTGAACACAGCAACATCAGCCCCGTCAGAAAGACTTTTTCAATAGACCTTATTCATCAAAAACCCATCCTACGCGCAAAAAGAAAAGTGATGTAAAAATTTTTTTTTTAACATTAGCTCTTATGGGGAATGTGATCACCAGAGCAGAAATTTGCATTTTTTGTGATTTTCTAGATATCTTTCATTGTATACGTGAGCAGTTTTTGAGGATAGAATATTTATATATAAAATAGGAAAAAATACAGTGATGAGTTTACTTGGGTTAGTTATTATTTATTACACGATACACAAAAATGGCTTTGACTAATAACGGATTGAGAGGTATTGCAGTTTAATATTTACCTAACATAGGCCATGTTTTGCATAATTAGAACAACAAAAAGAGATAGCCGAAAAATATCAGTTTTAGTCTAAATTCTAGATTTATCTCTAATTTACTTTTTCAACGTCAAGTTCCATAGCCCGGGGAAGATAACATATCTGTGATTCGGCTACAGTTGATGTCCATGCTATGGATACCATTAGTATGAGTAATTCAACGCTCAAAATCATGCTTACATGTACGGAATATGAGTTTTACTTTTATGCGAATGACTTATGTTCTGCACTAACAAATGCGTTTTTCGAGCTGTATTATTCACATGAAATCAGATTACATCTCAAAATCAATAGAAGCTTGATCCGAAGAAATATGTATGAAAAAAATGTATGGTTCTCCTAATGACTGCGTCATATCTGTTGTGGTGATCCACATTAGCTTGTGGTTTTCAAGTCTCTCATTTAGATATTTCTTTTGTTTTGTGGTCCATGTTTATACAATATTTCACGCAATTAGATAAGTTCATGATATACCTAAAAAATCAATTCGCATAGTAATTCTGAAGTTATATTCATTCTTACATTCTGAATCAACTTGTATAAATGACAGATACCCAATCTATGCTTTCTTTAAAAAAAACTGATTGCTTGGAATTATTTGTTTCAAATATTCGGGATTATGGGTATAATCACCCTCATTTCATTCTACCTATTTTATGTAATATTTGATTGCACTCGATTAAACTCGACTGAGTATCATCTTAAGTTTATCAGAAAGGAACCAGATATAACAACCTAAATAGGGTGATAGTTGTGAGAACATCGGTGTTTGGTCTTGAATTTTTTTTAGTGATCAGAGTAGGGCCGACTGGTTTGTTTCATTTGAATAAAATACGAATTTCTGAATCCAGTTTTGCAAAGTTTATTATTATACAATTTTTCTCAGAGCAAGGTCTCGAGCCAAGAAGTAAAAGTTGTTACAAAAGTAATAAATGAATTGAAAACTAATAAGAGTCTAACCCTATACAGGGTGTCTCAAAAGTAAGTATACATTTTTAATTTTGATTTGCTTTTAAGGTACTCATTATAAAGCGTTCATTTCTTTAGGAAATATAGTATGTATATGTAGTAAAATTTAGGTATTGTTTGCATTTTTTAAAAACTTACAGAATGACAAGGGGATTAACCCAAGAAATGAGGTGCAAAGTGCTATTTGGCGAAAAGCATATAAATAAGACGAACTCAGTGCTTCTTTAACAGAGAATTTGTAATCAATTCGGCTCCTATACACGAAGAAAAATTTGTGCAATTCACCATACATTTATGGAAACTGGATCTGTAGTTGATGCACAAAAATCAGAATGACCAAGGAGCGGACGCTCTGAGGAAAACATTCAGAGCCGAATTAATTCCTAATTCTCTGTTAAAGAGGCGCTCGGTTACTTCTTGCCAAACAGTAATTTTGCACCTATTACCTGGGTTAATCTCCTTGTCATTCTATGGGTTGTTAAAAAATGCAAACAATACCTAAGTTTTACTACTTATCCATACTATGTTTCCTGAAGAAATAAACGTTCTATTATGAGTACCTGAAGAGCAAATCAAAATTGAAATTGTATACTTACTTTTGAGACACTTGACATTAATTTCATTAATGAATTTAATGAAAATACTTGAACTGAAGATCGGGATTCCGCAAAACGAGCGAACGCCATGAGACCTATCCTGACATCATAGTTACAAACCAAGGCACCAATATGTTTCCACAACCTCCTGGTAAATACTTTTTATCAACTCGTTGTTGCCTCGATTATATTTTGTCTAAGCGGTGCCATATGGCTATGCTTAACACGAAATAAAATGAAGAAAACAAAGCAGACGTTTTAGGTAATATTAGTTTAAGAAATTGTATATCACGGGATATACTATAACTGCTACTATACTGTATTACCATATCATTTCTGTAGGGTACACTTGAGAAAATTCTTTGGTCAATACTGAAGCTGTTTCTTGTCGTTGTCTTATATTGGCTCTTTTGATTTTTTGACTTAGCGAGATATCTAAATTGCTAATAATCTGTTTTATTTATGTATTTCGTGCTTATACCAATTCCATCACGAACTCGCAGAGTATTACCAGCAGTACCAGTATTCTGTTATCACAAGCAGTTGGAGCACATATCCCACAGAGCACGGCGCGTTGGCAGAATCTCATGGTCTAGTGAGAATGACGTCATCGGAAACACCACGCTCATTAAAATTTCAATGAACGATTATTAAAAATCTTGACCATGTTTATCCTAATAAAAATATCAAAAAAGATGTAACAAATATATTCTATCCTCAAAACTGCTCACGTATACAATGAACGATATCTAGAAAATTACATAAAATGCAAATTTCTGCTCTGGTGATCACATTCCCCATAAGAGCTAATGTTAAAAAAAAAATTTTACATCACTTTTCTTTTTGCGCGTAGAATTGGTTTTTAATGAATAAGGTCTATTAGGCTACAGCGGTTATTGCAATTCCATCCCTGTTTGAATCATGCATCTAACAGTCTCACACAGGATTCCTGCACTAATAATATTATATCTGATCATATAAAAAGGCATGTTTCACCTCCAACGATCCGACTTATAAAGAAAAGCAGAATATATTTATACAAGTCTCATGTCACTCACTTTAGGTTTGTTCAGTTAGATACTTTTGTCTAGAAAAGCCTAGCACGCATTCCGCATAAATCCTCAAGGTTAAGCTGGTTTCATGGTTTAGAAGGGGATTCCGAAACTGCGGTAGGCCTACCCTATACATACCCCGAGCGGTACTTTTCAACTTTTCAAGGGGTACCTTAGATTGAGTATATAAGAATTATCTTTTCATAACATAAGTGATCTTTAAATAAAAATAAACGGCACAACTACTGACAACGGAGACTTTATTTTCACAAAATTGAACATTGTGCGGGAACTTTTACATTTGCCGTGGGTCTGTTGCATCGGTAAACGTGCCGGTAAAACTGCGACCGATAGTATCTGAAAATACAGCTGCTTAAACAAACCGCTGTGTTATTGTAGGCTCAGAATATACTACGAAAATCAGTACTACGTCATCGACGGAACATACTAATTTGCGTTTCATTTCAGCGAGGTTGACTTTTCAAAATTCGAGTCTCACCAACGAAGTCCATTTAATGTGAGCGATTAACGCAAAAATTATTTAACAAAAATTAGAATAAAAATCACATTAGGAGTTTTCCTGATAACTCACATTCGAGTTAGGCGCGACTCTTATGAGATCAGTGTCTATAGAAGAGACTTCTTTAGAGTGACTGTGTGAAAGGACCTTGCCAACAAAGACATCAGCAGAAAAATGTTGTCTATATCGCGTTTTTGAATTTTCGCACGACAATTTTTCTCACATGATATTTCAATTTTAAAGTTCTATCATTCATTTTATGTTTACATTTATATTATAAATGAACCTTGTTACATGGAATTACACAGCCTGTAAGTTTTACTGCTATGCCCTGTAAAATTCAATGCCAGGATATATACGGTGATTTTACTGGATTTTGAATTTTAAATTGACAGGCTAGCGTTGTTAAATATTACTGCGAACTGCCTTGATAATCACTACTAAAAACCGTTAAGGATTACTGATGATATTCTGTGAAATCCACAAAAATTCTTGTGTTTTTTTCCCTAATAAAATGACATTAAAATAAAACAACTGCATTACAGACTACAGTAATACGTAAAGCCTGGCGATTGCCGGTAAATATTTTGTGAATAGCGTGCTAATTTCTCGTATACTTTTCTTCCTACATCGACTAAAGAAGTATTTTTAATTCTGCTCTTACGCTCCACAGCTCTGTAAATTAGTTTTTTGTTGGCTGACAAACACGATATCTATATAAGAAATATGAGGAACTATTCCGTTCATTGTATTATTTTCTCGAATATATATTTAAGTTACCATACTATGTGCTATCAAACTCCTCCGTTATGACGTTAGCCGCCGCTCTAAGGGATAGACTTGACGAACATCCAGTCGCTCAGGGTCTAAATGGGCATAGGACCTCTCACCAAGTTTGGTTTAGTTTAGTTGTTAGACGATTACTACGAATCAATGGGAGTTAAAAAATCACAAAATTAATGTACATGATGGTATGAAATGACGCAGATGACTACGAATTGCAGGTGATATTCACCTGTAAAATCTGTAAGGATTACTGTTCATATCCTGTGAACTTCAAAGGTCATTAGAGCGATTTTAATGAAAATCCTTGTGTTTTTTACCCTAAAAAGACATTAAAATTCCACAACTGCATTCCAGTAAAACGTAATGCCAGGCGATCGTTGGTAAAAACTCTGCGTGTACTGTGCTAATTCCTCACATCCCTTTTTCTTATATTGACTGAAAAAGCTTTCAATTCTGATCTTGAGCTCTACAGCTCTGTGAATACACCTATATAAAAATGAGGCACTATTCGATGCATTGTATATTATTCTGGGATATATATTTAAGCCTCTGAATACACGAATATAATTGATCAAAAATATTATAGAATCAAATCTTTTTGAATGTCTGTGATTAAATTGAGCAGTTAACTGAATCAGGGGTTATCCATAGTTGCATGTACATCAGGTCCTCGGAATAGTTTGAATTTAAACTATATCAAATCATTTCGGAATCTTTGAGGTTGTTTGACACCGACTTCGGATTTTTTGAATCCCAAAATAATGGCCAAAGAATTTTTTCGGAATCTTTGAGGTTGTTTGACACCAACTTCGGATTTTTTGAATCCCAAATTAATGGCCATAGAATTTTTTCGGAATCTTTGAGGTTGTTTGACACCAACTTCGGATTTTTTGAATCCCAAATTAATGGCCATAGAATTTTTTCGGAATCTTTGAGGTTGTTTGACACCAACTTCGGATTTTTTGAATCCCAAATTAATGGCCATAGAATTTTTTCGGAATCTTTGAGGTTGTTTGACACCAACTTCGGATTTTTTGAATCCCAAATTAATGGCCATAGAATTTTTTCGGAATCTTTGAGGTTGTTTGACACCAACTTCGGATTTTTTGAATCCCAAATTAATGGCCATAGAATTTTTTCGGAATCTTTGAGGTTGTTTGACACCAACTTCGGATTTTTTGAATCCCAAATTAATGGCCATAGAATTTTTTCGGAATCTTTGAGTTTGTTTGACACCAACTTTGGACTTTCTGAAATAAAAGAATATACATATTGTAACTAATAATGTGGTAAGGAGTGAATTGATTATTCCGATGGCTTTTTCACTCTAATCAGGTTTTATGAGCACTTGTTTCAGCAATTCGGCACTTTAATATATTAGTATATTATGTTTTAGTATATAACTAGAATAAGTTTTGATGCTCACCATGCCTATGACCAACGCTCGGCGCAACTTTCGTTTGATGAGTCGAGATTAATTTTTGTGACTGTAGGCTCAATTATGATTCTTGATTTTAACTACAACTCAGGCCGACAACAATGGCAGCTAGTTTTTAAAATATGTTTTGTTCAATGTATTTGTGTGTTACAGCGGACAGGTGAAGCGAGCAACGCAGATTACAGAGCGGTAATTTTAAGAATTTACGTCAATTCAAGGCAAAAAATTGAATGACGAGTTTGCAAAAAAAGCTTCAACTCAGATCGCAATATATTTCGCATTTGATATCAATTAATAAATACAGGCTAAAATTAGGTTTACAAATGAACGATAGTTTGTTCACATTACAGACTACTTAAGTATACATAAATTGAAAACACGGGCATTATCACATCTTATTCAATTTGAGCAATTTTCTTACCTGCCTCCTTATCCGTTCCTTTGGAGTTTTCGATACTCTTAGCACTGCAATATAACGTAAATAATTTAAAATTGATGAAAACAACCAATTAGTTTATTAAGCTAGTCCAAGTTTTACAGAAATGAGAAAATAAAACGATTCGAATCACTTTGATTAAATTTAAGAAATATAGCACAAATTTCAAATAGATTTGTGAAAAGCCGCGGTAATTTATCAAATTGCTATATAATTGAAAAGATTTAGGTTCACAAGTTGATATGGACTTCAGTGTTATATGATTATTCAGGCACGTTTTTTTTGTGGGATATTATTCAAATAGATTATCAAAGTCATAATATATTCGTTCATTCATCTAACATGAATAATGTATTATATCATAACATACTTACCAGACACAAAGCACCACAATATGTATAATCAACAAAAGCTTGAATATCTTCGATGCCATTTTCTCTGCTCGCGATGTTTTTCTCCCGATAAACATCGACAAAGGTGCCCCGGTATGATTGTAGCGTGCCAGCCTTATATGCTAAAATTGTTTCCGGAACATTTTTTAAAATTAAACATAGCCAATGGAACATTATATATAACAAAATTTATGAAAAAACATTGTGATATCATGAAAATCTAACCACCTCCAGATGGATCGTTTCCGTCAATTGCGTTTCTATGAATCGTTACCTAAAAAATATCATAATTTTTTTTTTATGATAATCATTCTGAGCGTATTACTCTCTATATAAATTAGTGTGACGTGAGGATTGTTTTCATAAATTTTCTTGGAATTTCGGCAGATATATATTGTGAAAATGCGATCGTTCGCACAATTTAATGCGAATTCAATGCAATTTGCAAATCTCATCGGCAAACTTTCTTCACATTTCATTCGTTGACTGACGTTGGTACATGCATGTAAGAATTAATAATTGAAGGTGAATCGAAACAGAGTGTGTATTTCATTTTGAGCCTGTAATTCGACACTGGCGCTTTCACCAGGGACTACTGCACGATACACATATATAGCACGGTTGGTAAATTTTACTTCAAAGATATAATACTTTACCAGTGAAAATGACGATAAAATTTCTCGTAAAAATTAGTTACACACTTTTCTGATAAATTTCAAAACGCCAGATGTTTCGATCTATTGAATATAAAATTCAATCTATTTCTATATATATGTCAGATACTAACATATAATCAGAAATACTTTAGGAATAACGGAAGTCATGAAATATACTAATATGCAATCACTCTCGGTAGTTACGTTGAAAAAGTAGGCCTGCATACACTCTAATGAATAGGCTGTATTAGGTTAAAAATGAATCACCAATAATAATTCAACAATCAATACAAAAAGTGGTCCAATAGCTTTTAGGAAAATATTGCATTTATGCGCAGATTATTGCTGAATAAAACACATCGCAGCTTGCATCGGTGTAGAAAAATTAACACAAAATTTCACAATTTCCGAAGCCATCAGCAAGTAATTCCGCTTAGGAGGGGCAAAATTTAATAACGTACAATTCGTGTTTTGCGAATAAATTTTGCATTCATGTGTATCCTATTACTTGAAATAGCCTAAAAAATACCATAAACATCGTAATTTTGAAAATCCCTCCAGCATGAGTTCCGCTCAAGAAAGGCGAGATTTTATTACTGGAAATTAATTAAGCGCATGTACAATAAGTAAAATATCGAACATGCGGATCGCTATCAAGTTTATTTTGTGTTTATTTTGCATTCGCTTTAATCACGTTAATTATTGTCCAAATGCATTAATTTTTCTAAAACGCGTTTGTTTCCGACACACTATCAACTTTATTGTCATTATTGTGAACTAGTGACTCACTTTTTTGCACATGAAACGCAAAGGATTCAACTAATCGAGTCTTTTTATTATTATTTATAAATGTATCATTTGTGTCAATTTTGGCAAACGAGCGCATGTATTGCGCGTTATAAACTCTATTCATAAGTTTTGCTTGTTTTCTGGGCATTTTTGTTACGTTTTGATGGTTTTAACAAGTGTTGTGTTTTCTGAATGCCGAAATAAATTGTATTGTTTTGAAGTATCAAAAAGTTGCAAATCTCATTGGCAAACTTTCCTCACATTTCATTAGGATTAGTTGGCTGACGTTGTTACATGCATGTAAGAATTAATAATTGAAGGTGAACAGTAAAAGAGTGTGTATTTCATTCTGAGCCTTTTATTCGACACTGGCGCTTTCAGTGGGAACTGCACATGAATGCAGTCCCCACTACTGCACGATACACATATATAGCACGGGTGCTAAATTTCATTTCAAAGATTCAGTACTTTAAACCAGTGAAAATGACGATAAGATTCCTCGTAAAAATTAATGACATACTCTTCCGATAAATTTTCAAACGCCGTATGTTTTAATCTATTGAATATAAAATTCAATATATTTCTATATGTCAGATACCAACAGATAATCAGAAATACTTTAGGAATAACGGAAGTCATGCTATAAACTAATATGCAATCACTCTCGGTAGTTACGTTAAAAAAATAGACCAGCATACACTCTAATGAATAGACTGTATTAGGTAAACAATAAGTCACCAATAATAATTCGACAATCAATGGAAAAAGTGGTCCAATCGCTTCTATCAAAGTATTGCATTTATGTGCAATCCATCACTGAATATACCACATTGCAGTTTGCATCAGTGTAAAAAAAATACCACGGAATTTCACAACTTTTAAAGCCCATCAGCAAGTAATTCCGCTCAAGAGGGGCTAGAGCAATTTGAGTTATTGCGATCAAATTTTGCATTTATGTGTGATTTATTACTTGAAATAGCCTAAAATACCATAAAATCGTAATTTTGGAAAACTCAACATGTCTTCCGCTCAAGAAAGGTTAGATTTTATTATTGGAAATCAATAAAGCGCGTGTACATTACATCATGGAGTTTGAGTTGCAATTTTGTATTCAGGCGTAATCAATCAAAATATAGTAATCAAATGGGATGTTGCGACTTTTTGGGTACACACACGCCTATATATATTGACCACATATGGTGTTTTTGGTATCGGATGATATATAGAAGCAAAACTTTTTCCACAACAACTCAAAATGAATAGTGTTACCTTCTGCGTACTTCAAGTAAATTCCAATATTGAAATCGACCCTTCGGAATTCGGAAGCGTGTCGAATCCACGGGTTTTCTGGAATCTATTTCTACACATGTCTTACCGAGGCATTTTACTTTTTGTTCCTACTAGTTGGAGCATCCGTTATATGCGATAGACCCCAGTGTGTTCCAAGGTTGCGAGATTGACGGGCCGCGAAAACTATTGACGATGTTTCGCCTACCGCAGTCGGAGAAAGCTTACTGAGGTAAGCTGAGAGCTTACCGTTCTTATTAGTTTTTTAGGGAAATATATATAAAGCCTCCATTGATTTTAAAATTGATTCCCGAGAAATACCGTGGTATTTTCGGTATCTTTTCTTATGTTTAATTTTGTAATGTCGCTCAAAATCATGTTCTTCCGTGATAGATATTACATGAAAACACACAAGACTCTGTGGTTTAACGTTGTTGCGGGAAATGAAATGCGTTTCGTACCAGTTTTCCTAGGTCACTTTTTTACACTCATTGTATGATGAGTGCTTATATTTGACTAATTTTATTAGTTGTAACGCGAGCAGGTCTGGTGCTATCGCCGAAGAACAACCAAGTCCGTCTACGCTGGGACAACGGACACAGCTAAAAACTGGATCGCGCGGCGCTAAGTCAGTTCTGCGGTTCGTCTCTTCTGTCACGTCGCCAATGCTTGAAACTAGAGTAGTGATTGACTAAAATAAAGGCACAAAACGTCCCTCCAAATGAGGAGTTACTTGACGCAAGCTTAAGATACAAAAATTAAATAAAAAGCGCGACTCATCTCATCGACTTGGTTCTGTCTGCACAGGACAAAATTGTTTTGGGGGCGGCCTGGAATGTGACCGAGGGACGCTGGCGGCCCGCGTGCCAGGATTTGGACCAACCTGGGGTAAATCATTATCTGATAAGGCGAATCTGCTTTAACGGGTTGTGCATTTAGTTGTCCTTTTGCGCGATGTGTTTTTGACTTTGATGGTGGCATTTTTCGACGTAATTAATCTAATTCTAAATCAACAATATTCGGCCAAAACACCGCTGGTTGCTTTAAAAAGACCCTCCATGCCAAAATGTAAGTTTCTCATGTGAAATAGGTTTTTGAAACAGTTTGCAGAAATGAATTTGACTACTTTTGTTACATTTCTATATGTATCTTGAAAATCTTTCTTTCTTCAAACAACGAATGTTTTGAATATTCCAGATGGAGAAGTTTACCAAATGATAACAACTTTGCTGTCTATCCAGAAATATCTGTATGCAATATTATATGACAGTGCTATGCTTATTTCATGCACCAATCTGCTCATGCCTATTACTTCCATTAGCCCTTTTCTTGGAGTAGGCTACGTATTTTTGTTTGAGTGTCACAAATCTTTGTGCTGCAACGAGTGTTATCTTCACTCCATCCGCTGTTGGTCACAGTGAGAACATAAAAGTGCCATATGCTAATTCGTCACCGTCCGAAAACACATACAGTTAATTAGGAAGGTCTACTTGTATTTTCAAATTTTAGATATCTTGGAATTGTAATGTTAGCTAACATGGATATTTCTTGCGCCTTGTTATACTAGCATTTACCAACATCATCTGATAAAGGTTGGGCTAGCTGACATTTTCTATAAAAGTATCTTTGTCCAATAAAACAGCTCCGAATAGATGATTTTCGCGAAATTTGTCGGCTAAAACTTGATTGTATAACACGACAAGTCAGGACTAGATATACAGGGTGTCTCAAAAGTAAGTATATATACGCTTTTATTTTGATTTGCTTTTCAGGTACTCATCATAGGGCGTTCATTTCTTTAGAAAACATAGTATGTATAGGCTACTTAGTAAAATTTAGATGTTGTTTGCATTTTTTAACAACCCACAGTATGACAAGGAGATTAACCCAAAAAAGAGAAGCAAAATTGCTGATTGGCAAGAAAAGGCATGTAAATCAGTAAGGCCAACTTAGCTCCTCTATAACAGAAAATTTGAAATTAATTCAGCTTCAAATGTTTTCCTCAGATCGCCCGCTCCTTGATCTTCCTGGTCTTTGTGCATCAACTACAGATCCAACCATGACACATATAAACCAGCGGAAAAACTTTAAGGGGAGGGGGGGATCTATAGAGAGATTCTTCAAGATATTGTTACTGCTACCGTCACCCCTGAATTACCAAATCTCAAGTACCTCTTTCATACATGTAAAGTAATCCAATAACTTCACCTAGGAAAATCTTACGCAACTCTTCATTTTCTAATGCTGAACAACAACGACAACACTGTTAACATTAGCACACATGATTAAAAGATCGTTCAGGAGCCAGAATAACGCCTCCGTATAGATAACGGCTTAAAAATAAATGTCTGGAGTAGTTTGTGAACGTAAAGAATGTATTGTTTGAATTAAAATTGCATAATCCCTACCGACAAGAACATCAACTGATTTTTGACAAACCGGTATTTTACTTTGAATGCTTCCTGGATAATCATACTGTCCGAAAATAATTGGCAAAATCAGTGTGACACCATGACAAGGTTTTCTCAAAGCCGTATCTCAGATATCAAATATCTGGTCTTGGTGGTCTAATTTTTAAATTTTAATGTCTTCAGAAGGTTCTTCATGGATCGGCCCTCTTGCAAATCCAAACCATGAATATTTCCATGGCTATATCTTTTGGTTTCAATGATTTAGAAAAGCTACGTTTAACCAAAGAATGGTTACTGCCACTATTCAGAGAAATTGGATTTGATCCGCGTTAGTCACCCAAACTGTAACTCCATAACAAACATAAATTAAAAATGGAGGATTCTGGAGAGCAAGCAAAACCTATAAAAAAGTTTAAAACATTAGAAGTATCTCATGTGCCTGCCCACCAGCACACACACAAAAACACAAGCCTAGTTAAATGAGGCCTGGGCCAAACCTAACAAAGAAAATACACAATAGTATTAAACTTTCAGGATGTTGTACTTCTAAATTCTAACACTTATGTTGATAATGACCAATACAATCTCATTCAAAGATAATGTGGGGAGTGGAATGTAATAAATTGGCGACGATAGTCATACTCATGAAGCCATGAAAAACTACACTGATTGCTAGATTGGACATTGCGGAATAGGTGATAAGTGGTTTAATATACGAACAAACGCAAAACCATGACGGTAAATTCGGTGTGCGGACACTCATAAAAACAATTATCAGAAAATTTACCGGCGCGCGAGTTTCGTGCCCAAGCAGACACCGGTACAGGTCGCGTGCTATCGGATATAGCCTACGAAGAGTAAAATGCCATTCGAATATTTTAATTTTCCATTCGCTATTCGATTATTTTGTCGAGCCCTAGGTCGATCATGTTCAAAAAGCTCATTTCGCAAGGATAGGTAGATAAAAACGGTAGCAAGATTGGAAGCGCTTTTTAGCAAGAATTGGAAATTTTCTTGAGGTCCCAATCTAGTACCTACATACATTAACCCGCAGCCTTGTGTAATTTGTAAAAGTTCATCGGCTGGTTGAATTTCAGTTATAACGTAATATTCCTTCAAAAGAGCAATTTTCCGCGGAACACCTGAAACACCAGTGACCTAGACATCGCCTGGCATTTCACAATGTAACCACGTGGCTAACCACCTTCAAAATTCCCCAACCTGGGGTATCCGATATCTTCATTGATATACACCTCAATGGGTATCTTTCAAAGCACAGTCATGCTTTGATCCATAATCCAGATAACCTCGGGGATTCCCCGTCCATTCGTTGGTTTCCCCTTGTGGCTCTCGTGAAAGGGAAATTTTTATTACAATTTATATTAATTATCTGTCTCCAGTAAAACTGTATAAATTCTCTTTTTTATTATTATACCTGATTTATTTATTTTTTATTGGCTGATCTTCGATTGTTATTGATTTTACTGGTTGGAAAAAACAAACTTGACTTGACTCTGTCTAGCTTGTTTATCCATTTATCGTAACATTCAGTTTACGCTGCTGCGGGATGGCGCAAAATACACATTTAATTAACAGCGTATCGCTGGCATATATCAGTAGATACGGTACACATTGAATTGGTCATTATTACTGCAATAGCTTAGATGTTTCCAAAGTATAACAGCCCGGAGGTTCCCTACATTCGAGTATCTTTTGTTTGATTATTTTTGGCCTAAACCTTTTTTGAATTAGTTTTTCTGTAATTTTTTTTTTGTGTGTGTGCTGGTGGCAGGGTGGGCGGGCACATGATATTTCTCATGTTTTTAACCTTTTTAAAGGTTTTGCTCGCCCTTCAGAATTATCCATTCAAAATTTCTGTATATTACAGTATTATGGAGTATTCAAATAAACTATATCTATCTATTTAGTAATTAGTACCGGTAGTCTATGTCTATCTTTCCTTTTAATTTATCTTGCATATTTTTATTGAATACCGGTATCAGAATATTGGTATAGACTAATAGAACTGTAGAAAGATATAATAAAAATTGTTTATATTTAAACAGGCATTAGAATTGTTATATTTGAGTATTTAGTTACTAATCTGAGCAAGGTCAGAAGGTTGAGGTGACTGAATATGAATGAAGATTACATAAAACAAACAAATTCAACGCAAGCCAGTTTGCTTATGACATCACTCGATAGCTTGAGAGAACAAAACAGTCTCTGCGATTTCGATGTCAAAGTTGGTGACAAATCCTTCCATGCTCATCGCTGTGTCTTGGCAGCCTCATCAGGATACTTTAAAGTAATGTTTTTAAGCAAAATGAAGGAATCTCGTGATGGTTTTATTAATATGAAAGATGTTGATCAAAATGGGATTTCCCAATGTATAGAGTTCATGTATAAAGGAGGAGCAAATTTGAAAATGGAATACGTTCAACAAATTCTGCAAGCATCCAACCTGTTACAAATGGTTAGTTTGACAAACTTTTGCTTCCATTACTTGGAAACCAATCTGTCTCGAACCAATTGTCTTTTTGTCATCAACTTGGCTCAAGCATACGATCGTCATGATGTAAAAGAACAAGCAGAACATGTGCTGATCACTAATTTCAAATCAGTAATTTCCTCCGAGATGTTCCCGTTTATTATCAAGCCAGATCTCCTGCGTTACATAGAAGTTTCAAATGTAAGTTATCAAACATCATGGCAAGCTATGATAACATGGGCAAGAGCAAAAGATGAACATGCAGAGAGATGTTTCGGCAATCTTGTAACAGTCATCAATATCCAGACTTATCCTTTCAAGTTTCTTCTGGAGACAGTGTTAGAAGAACCACTGGTGAAAAGTAATAACATTGCAAAGAATTCAGTCATCACTGTATTATTCTCTAATGTCAAGAATCTTGAGACGAATCTTGAGATTGACAACTGCTTCATGCTGAAGAATATGGCTGAAACTCATCAAGTACCTACCGTAATCTAAACGCAGTTAGCTATGTGTTGGATAGATTCATGGAAATCAACTTTGAACAACTCATTGAGAAAGGGGAATTCTGTGATATTCAAAAAAATGATATAATTACACTTTTCAAATCAGCAAACACGAAATATTCCTCTGAGACTGTTAAATGGCAAGCCGCTTTAAAATGGGTTAGACATGACATTCGTAACCGAGAGCAATATTTCCATGAACTTTTCAGTCTCCTGAGAATGCATTGCTTTTCGCTGGCGCGGCGGTGTGGCTCAACGGGCTAAGCGGTAGGAATACGCTCGCCACCGCACCTCTAATTACTCTGCAGGGGTTCGCAGGTTCGAATACCATGCAGGGATGGTTATGTGCGAGAGGATTGCTGGACTCCTCGCCGTCGTTGGGTGGTTCACGTAACCGCTGGTCGGTTATGGCTTCCTCCACCACCAAGTACATGCTTCCGAAAACAAACAATACAGTAAAACTAATCCCATACCCGACTTGGAATGGTAACCGGACGAGAGGCCGTGGTTCGCCATATGGATAAGCCGTCTTATCGGCTTTCCTCTCCCCCTGGATAAATATGTAAATCCTATCCTATCCTAATATCTAAAAGATAGTATACGATTTGAAAATCTGGTTCAAAAGTCTGAAAAATGTAATGCTCTACTGATGAATGAGTTCATACGCTGCCTGACTACAAAACCCAGAGAGAACCCTTCTCAGATGCAGAACGCTGGGCAGGTAGGGTTGCGATACTAAAATATGAAAGTTCTAAGAATAAGTTCTATTAGAATACAAACAAATTTGGTCGAAATGATAACAACTTATTTTCTAGGATCATATGTATCGTACTGGATATTATGTCCTTTATCATTTCAACAAAATTATCACTAGAAATGTGAAAGGTTTATTACACGATAAATCTATTCGAAAAGGAAAATAGTTTGTAAACCTATGAAGGACATTTGTGTACTGCAGGCCTGAGTGCTGATGCGCTGATTATTGAACTTGACCTAATTTAAAATAATAACATATATTCATAATTTATTACGAATTCAAAAATGTCATTTTTAAATATTATCTATAGATAATAATTTAAACTCATTGATGGTGAAGATCATATGAGTCACATGCCCACCACCTCAACCAGGGTGCAATAAATTGCATAGGCAATGCCTGAATGCCGGAACGGAAGATTTTGGTCTTTTTGAATATCAATTACATTGATTACATATCATTGGCTGGTTACACAGCGTTCTTATTGCTACTGAGCACAGGCATATTTGAAAGCAATGATGAATAGAAGTCCCTCAACTTGAGTCAATCACGGATCTAAGTGATAATTAGTTGAGTACAAATCTGAGTCATTTAGGATAGGATAGGATTCAAATATTTATCTCGGGGGAGAGGAAATTTGAGAGCAGACGGCTTAACCTTATGGTGAACCACGGCCTCGTCCAGTTACCATTCCATGTCGAGTATGGGATTAGTCAGTTACTTGTTTTGGGAAGCATGGACTTGATGGTGGAGGAAGCCGTAACCTACCAACGGTTACGTGAACCACCCTACGGTGGCGAGGAGTCCAGCAATCCTCGCACATAACCATCCCTGCACGGGATTCGAACCCCTGTAGGGTAATCAGAGGTGCGGTGGCGAGCGTATCCCTAATGTGTAGCACGATGAGCCACACTGCTGCGCGCTTTCATTTAGATGACACAAGTTACACTAAGTCATGATGACTGTAATTCAGTTTAGTCAATGATTTATTTTAAAAAGCTTGGTAATCTTACAATATAAGCTTTGGTGGTTAATTTTACAAAGTTATTTTTTGGAAATCAACATTTGCAGGCACTTTCACAACTGTTACGCCTTCCAATAGCCTGAAAATCATTCAAAGACAGCCAAGCAATGGAGTCATGTTGGAAAGAGTTTTGGGATAATCGCTTCCCGGCTACAAGCAATGGCCAACACGGGAACTTGTATTCTCTTTCCAAGCTGGGGAAATGATGGTGAGAAAATTTAAAAATTCAGCGCTCCGGAAGTATGTGCACCAGGATGGTACACAACCTGGTACACATACTATGTTCAGGTTGTGCGCCATCTTGGTGCACATACTTCTGGAGCACCGAAAATTCTCAACTTATATTATCTCTTAATTGTGTATTCATGTTTATGCAATAACTAAATGCAGTCCTATTTTTATTCTTAGTCTCTCTGTTTTATTGTTCGTGAAATTGATGAGTGGGCAATATTTTTATTCTTGATCTGTCTGTTTTATTGTTGATTAAATTGAGTCAGCATTACCAATATCAATTGCAAAGAAAAGTGTAATAAAACAATTTAGTCCACTAATATTTGATAATTTTTCCATTCTCTCTTCTTTCATGATCCAAAGGTCCATATAATTCAGGGGTCTCAAACTCAATTTACCTGGGAGACGGAGTCTGAGCGAGTCCGGGTCGCATCAGGTTTTCCACAATAAAATCATAGCTTAGAAAGTTAAATCTTCTTTCTCTATTCTTCTATACGCAAAACATAAATGTTAGTAGTTCCGCGATGGACCTTGTTAGTTTTCGGTTGTGTTTCAGAATTCAAGTATGAATTATTAAAGAACCCAATGATCATTCTGATGACTTGGGCGTCGTAGCTTAAAATTGCAGTAATCAAAAATTAGTCTAGAAATAGCAGTGATACCTAGGCTAAACTTCTCTACCAGTACTATTGAAAAACAGGTTGTTGAATGTTTTGAATCCAAATGATTATGTGAAACGTATACCCCAGTTTATAGACTTTAACTCGCGAAGCCACCTTTAAACTAAGCACCAAGAAATTTGCAATGGTGACGTAACAAAAAACTTTTTGGAGGTCTAAGGTCGCGAAAAGGTCCATGGAATATCATGCCTACAGGTACGGTACTAGTAGGTTACCGTACCGCATATGCCTTTCGGGGGATAGATTATGAAATATTTTGTTTCGCTCTACGTGTCCTGATTATATATTAAATGCATCAATCACTCTAACTGAGCTGAGTGACTTACGGGCTGCACTAACATTAAACTTTCATACCAAGACGGGGGCCACAAACTATCGTCCTGCGGGCCGCGAGTTTGAGACCTTTGATATAATTGATCTATATCTTCGAATTCCCTTACCCCCAAATTGGAATGAATATCAAGCCAAATAAATTGTAAAAATAACTTTCTATTCATAGGGGAAGCTATACAAAGTTCAAGAGTTTGTTTCTTACCTACCTGACTCGCATGAAGGATGGAAAGTTCGGTATCTCATAAACAAAGCTTTTGAAGCTGGAATACTCTTAGGAGTTGAAGAAATTTCACAACAAGATGGAAGATTAATATGGAATCCTGACATTCCCAGCAAAACCAACAAAACAGGAGGAATTGCAAAGTGAGTTTTTTTACTGTTTTACATAATAATGAAAATTGTCATTGAAGACTAATAAAAATTATGTAAAACTTGCCAGATATTATGAACTAAACTACATGCTTATTTATAATGAAGATAATGACCGCCGCATCTATGCACTTCAAAACCACGAAGTTGAATATGAAGAAAATATAGTGTGGTTTCTTTTTAGTAGAAAAAGCTCCCAATGCTTTGAATTTTATCCATTCCCACCAGACTGGCACTTGTATATAATGTTATTTCACATCCTCAGCATAACAATGACTTACATATTATTTGTGCATTCAGGCCTAAATAATAATGCACCATCTGATATCTGTCAGACTAGAATAGGCCTACTATTTATTGTGTATCACTCATATGGAAAGGTAATTTAATTTGCTTTTTATTTAACTTTATTTCAATGTTATTTTTCAATAGCCTGAAAGGATTGACATGGACTCTGATCTGACTGGAGATCTAACGTATCTAACCTGTGTAATCAATAAATAACTGATGCAATACCTCTAAATTTAATCTTGTTTTTTTGTTTTTTTAGCAATGGATATCCTGACTTGAACTATTTCCAGGATCTGTGTGATGCTCTGAATGCAAAGGGAATAGAGTAGATAGTGTATCTGGACAGCTTATATAAAATACTATTCTCGCATCATGATGACCCAATCTAAAATAAAGGCAGTCATTGATATATAGGGATCTACTATTTGTTCCAGATCTGCATTACCCAGCCAATTTATTACACATTGGGTGAGGTGAAGAACATTGGATTTAAAGCCGGTGTTTTTCAATACCACACTTTTAACACACGCAACTTATTGACGAAAAACTAATCATATATTATAGCGACATTTTTTTTACTACATTTTATTCAACTAAGCGGTTAACATTCGCAGAAAAGCAACAAAATTCTCTCTGAACCGACAGTAATCTGCGGTTGGGAACCACTGTTTTCTACCTACGACACGGGAAGTTATTGCAAAAATATAATACACATTAGTAAGTGCCGGTTAAATCAAACAATAAGTGTTTTTATGCCGCACTCTTCTTTTTATGGTTTGAATAAAATTACATACACTACGTTTGTTATATTTTGATTTGGTTTTAATGACAATGTAAAGCATGTAAAAGTTTCGATAGTGTGTTTGCAACACTTTGTTGGTCGTATATCTAGTATCTACTGCTCGTGAGTGTATATTACCATCGAAAAGAGAGGTTATCCTGTTTTTTCTCGTTTGTGGTCCTTTTTAGGCGCTCCCGAAGTATGTGCACCAAGATGGCGCACAACCTGAAGCCTAACCTGGTACAACTAGAGATGTACCGATACCACTTTTGTCACCGATACCAATTAAAAACGCCGATATCACAAAACGACGTGTGCAGGGCAGACGGGTTAAAACACTAGTCTTTGAGCATTCTTCATGTTACACATTATTTCAGATTGAAAAAAGGATATAATACATCATAAGAAATTGATGTTTGGGATTCAGATGCGTTAATTAATTTCGATGCATTGTGTACTGAAGCTAGTAATCTCGGTGTTCAGTTAGAAAACTCATAGCCAGGGATGTCCAATTTGAATTTAATATTAATAGCGCGACCTTCGAATATCGCCCACACATCGTAGAGCCGCCGTCCACGTTTTACTTGAAAACATTTCACATACGATATATTTCGTTTTATCGTAATCGTGCGTCGCGACAATAAATTACAGCCGACATTAGAGAATTTCAATCAGCGCTGGCTAGAAATACATATAACACGTCGAGGATGTTTCTGATTTTAATATTTCATAATATATCGCAAATATTATCGTATATTTTGAGATAGTCTGGGCGGCCTAGGCAATAAATATATGAGGAAATTGTATAGTTAAACAAAATTAAGATTATTGGAATCACAATATTTAATACCTGTGTAGAGAGATAATTGAGTCGAAATTTAACTTAAAGATGTCGATGGACTAAATGACACTAGCGCTTAACGATAAACAGTCGGAATTTATAACCGTGCCGAAAAGTGCGTATGCTGCAATGCTGTTAATAAAGACGTTTCTACAATATGATTTAAAACTACTTTCACAGAGCAATTTCATTTATATCACACATGCCTTATGACTGCTTTACAATGATAACATTATCAAAGCCTAATTTATATGTCCCTGGATTTTGGGAAAGTGGATTGATTGTATTCATGAGGAGGATTTTACAATCTATTCGGAATTTCAGTATCGAAAATATTTTTAGAATGTGTTCGAAATAGTCGATGGGTATGGCCATCCCTGCTCATAAGGTTTTGCTACCAGAGTGATGAAATAAATAAATGTTTAGCTACTTATCTTATTAAATTGATACATTGAGTTAGGCTATACGTGCGCAAGATTTTGTTCCAATATAACGACATATTTTGTATTTTACACATTAGAAAATCTACATATATTCGATTGCTATATTTATTCATAATTACCATGTAATAAAACATCAATATAAAATCTTGGCAGTAAAAATAGCCAAATTAGTTGAGCATTTGGCTGATAAATAACTGAGAACAGGTCAGAATCCCATTCTCGTTTCTACTCGCGGTGGTGGGGACGTGTATGGCATATAGTTCACGATTCCCCCAAGCAAAAAATAATTTAAACATCAGAATTCCAACTTATTTTTTAAAACATTCTGAGTCATATCAAAAAGGTGAACATATCGGAAATATCGGTCTTCATTTAGCCGATACCGATACACTACCGATGCCGATGCATCGGTACAACTACTATGTTCAGGTTGTGCGCCATCTTTGTACACATATATACTTCTGGAGGTCCCCTTTTTCTTGCCATGAATGAGTTTAAAATAAAAAAAATATATAACAACTATACTACATACCCGCTTGTCAATAATTTACGGCATTGCTGGGTGATATATTTTGGCCTACCTGTTCCTAAATATGAAGTGGATACGCTGCTCACGCACATAACGACCGCTACTTTTACTTTCCTTCAACGCTTCGAAGCAACGTTCATTCTATCTAATACCTCCAAGCAGTTATCGGTAGGTGCTTGTCTGAGTTTGTGATGGAATTGGTATAAGCACGAAAGACACAAATAAAACAGATTACTAGCAATTTAGATATCTCGCTAAGTCAAAAAACCAAAAGAGCCAATATAAGACAAAAAACAGCTTTAGTATTGACCACAGAATTTTTCAAGTGTACCGTGTAGAAATGATATGGTAATACAGTATAGTAGCAGTTACATTATATCCCGTGATATACAATTTCTTAAACTAATATTACCTAAAACGTCTGCTTTGTTTCCTTCAAGTTATTTCGTGTCCATTCATTGCTTTGACAATTTGCAAAATGTCGGTGGTTTGCTATATATTACCAGCTTTATATTCAGGGCTGCCATCGATATGAACCCCAAAATAAGGACATCAGAGGAAACATGATAAAAAGATAAGAACGAACGAAATGTAATACACAAAATGTATTCATGCCAGTGCAACCCGTGTCTAATAATACTTTGCCTAGAAAGGTTCTTTAAGCAGTTCTTTATTCCTAGAAACAATCTGTTCCATCTCACTTTTAAGTTGCATTTTGATTCAGGTTACACGAACTGATTTTGGCCGGTAGGCTATTGTTTTGTCATCGTGTCAATTGATTTGCTGTTATTACGTAATGAGTGCGCGTAGCAATCAAGGAGGTTGTAAAATATCATTTCTAGCAAATCAGTCATTCGAATTGACCAACCTAAGTGGCTGGTATTAGAACCTCTACCCATAAATAGGGTTACCATATTTTTGTGACCTTAAATCGGGACACCTTCAAAGACCACAGCTGTGATTTTTTCAACTTTAAATTTGGCGGTTTTACATTAGGGGCATTTTGAAGGGGCATCACGGCTGTCTTCATTGTCCATTTTGTCATCGAGACGCTGTCTGTCTAAATATCGGTAAAGTTCGAAACGTTAAGCACTCTTTTGGGCTTACGGGGATTACACAACAACAGTATCAAGAACATGCTAAGTGGTAATGTTCGTGTATCATGCTGACTGGCTGAACGCCAATGCCGGACTTTTTGCTGACCGGTCGGGACAAGGTGTTCAAAAGTGGGACTGTCCCGCCTAAAACGGGACGTAAGTTAAGCATAGCCATATGACACCGCTTAGACAAAATATAATCAAGGCAACAACGAGTTGATAAAAAGTATTTACCAGGAGGTTGTGAAAACATATTGGTGCCCTGGTTTTTAACTATGATGCCAGAATAGGTCTCATGGCGTTTGCTCGTTTTGCGGAATCCCGATCGTCAGTTCAAGTATTTCGATAAATGCTGGATAGGCATGTAGCAGGTAAATGGAAATACGTTTTATAATGCTGAAACTACACTTCAATTGAAGTTCAGATTGTGGGATTGCAGCACTCGTTTCAAAATATTGTTTGTTTTCACTTGTTCGTCTGGGAGAGCTTAAGGAGCAGAATGGGAGCACAACGATGTTTACACTTGTGACAATTTTCAACGTCTCGCACGAATTTCTCGAGTTACAACTCCTGAAATATAGAAAAATCAGACAGCCTACAAACTGAATTTTCTTTGGCCTGTCCCGTAAATGCCGTCACATAATACAGTATAACGATGCTGCATTACAAAGTATATGTAAGGCGGGACTTCATTCAGGTTTAGCAGTAATTCTGCCACTAAATACAATACTCTTTTTGGCCATTATAATACGGGAATGCTCTACTATAGCCAGCTTATCTCAGTCACAACTTGTCTTGCTAGTAATTGCCTATTCCAACCGGGGAACAACTCCCACACCAACCCTTCAGAGAGGAATTTTGCATTTGCTATAGTACTACTAATATTCTTTAGTTTTTTTATTACTATAATACTTATACGGAGGGTTACCATATTTTTGTAACTTCGAAACGGGACGCCTCCAAAGATAACGACCTATTAGATGTGATTTTGTAACTTTGCCATTTCCGATTTTACTACATACGCCTACATTTAAAGATATCCCGGCTGTCTTCATTGACCATAACTGTCATCGAAAGTTCATGCGCATATTTTCTGTCCAAATATCCGGTTCAGTTCGAAAAATAGGAAGGAATTGACGTTTAACGATACTTATAATTCGAATTTAGATTTTTTACCGGTAGCATTCAATAACTGATGTAATCTGGACTACAATTTGGCAATATTTTGGCATTTGACTCCATTTATATTCAGCTTGGCGAATCTTTTTTGTCTTTATCAAATACTGTTCACTCTTGTATGGGAATTTTTTATAAAATTAAAAAAATGGTCTGGGAAACAATTCTTATTTTTTATCACAATTCCTATCTTTCATTATAATTTATTGATTTTACATGTAATACGTTCGCTAACAATATATGGGGGAAACAACGAAACAAACACAATACGCATTCACCTTCAGTAAGTATGCCAGTATATGTAAAAGGTTAAATTCTATGAACAGTATTTACAGTGTTACAAAGGCTGACGTAAAAAAACAATATTTCTCGTGTCTTGAGCTATTTTAAGCTAAAACATCAAAATTTGGTTTTTGTTCGATTGCGGCAGCATCAGGCGCGGCCAGATTGAATTACCCAATGAGCCGGATTTGAGTCGCGGGCCGTAGTGTTCCCATATCAGGTCCATAGACATTCTGATTTTTAGGTATTGCAGGAATCAGAATCCGATTAGTACGTGCCAGACTTTGGAAATCATCACAGATGTAAACATCGTTTTGCTGTCACTTTTTTCCTCAATTTCTTTCAGATAGACAAGCGTAAACAAACAATTTTGACAATTTTCGACTGTCTGTGAATACGACGTTTGGGTAAAAAGCTATTCGGCTGCTGAATTATCCATGTCAATGACGTCACAAATCCCCAATAACCAGCTTGTTCGAGGCGAACAACGCACGTGATAAGATCAATAGCCAAAAATTTCGTACCTGCAAGTGCAACTACTAAAAAGCTTATGTTAATTAAAGGTGCGACCAGTGGTTTCACCAAGTTATTTGTATTCACCCATACTGTGTTAAAGGTTGCACACTCCCGTTATAGATCGCTGGGAAAG